ACTGGTCTACTCCATGTCATGTTTTAGATTGCCACGGGATCTCTGCGAGAGTATCACTTCCATCATACGGCAATTCTGGTGGGGCAGCAAGAATGGACGCAAGAAACCAAGCTGGGTATCATGGGAAACAATGACAAGACCAAAACATCTAGGGGGCTTGGGGTTCCGAGACCTTGAGATTTTTAACTTAGCGTTACTGGCGCGCCAAGCATGGAGGTTGTTAACTGATGACACATCATTGAGTGCTAGGATTCTAAAAGCGGCATACTTTCCTGCTTGCACTTTGTTTGAGGCCGAGTTGGGTTCCAGACCTTCATAGATCTGGCGTTCAATTCTGGATGGACGCGATATCATGTCACAGGGAGTCATCAGAAGAATTGGAAATGGAAAAACCACGGAGATCTGGTCGCAGAATTGGATTCCAAGGGCTAGTGTCAAGAGGCCCATCGCTTCTTTACAGCAGAACTCGCCGACGAAGGTGGCACAACTGATTGATGCTACTTCTGCTTCGTGGAAAGAGGACTTGGTTAGGTCGACGTTCACTCATTTTGATGTTGAAGAGATCCTTCGAATACCACTGTGTACACGTAATGTGGATGACTTCTGGGCCTGGCATGAAGAGAGCAAGGGGGTTTTCAGTGTGAGATCGGCATACAGAATGATCATAAGAACAAAATTGCACCGGGAAGCATGGCTGAATGAAGAGGAGGGAGCGTCCAACGACCATCAAGAGCAGAATAAATGGAGCAGCATTTGGCATATACAGGTACCTTCTAAATTGCGAATGTTTCTGTGGCGTTTGGCTCGTCAGTCCATGCCAACCGAAACACTTTTGAAGCACCGTAACATGGCGATGGAGGATACTTGCCTTATCTGTGGTGTTGTTGATACTTGGAGACATGCTCTACTAACCTGCCCCATTGCTAGCAGTGTATGGGCCTTGGCGCCGAAAGAATTGGTGCAACAGTTGGTGGAGAGGCAGGAGATCAATCCAAAAGAGTGGTTGTTTGCCTTACACGAAATATTGGACAGCAGCGATTTTGTGAGGTTAATCGTTACCATATGGGCCATCTGGGGAGTACGAAGAAAGGCGATTCATGAGGATATTTTCAAATCACCTAGTGCTACAGATGGTTTCATTACTAGCTACCTGGCAGATCTTCAGGTTGTCAAAGGCTTAACAAAGAGACCGGCAACGATGGTGCAAGCAAGACCGACACGATGGCAGGCTCCAATTGAGGGGTGTGCCAAGGTGAATGTAGATGCAGCGGAGTTTGGTCAGGCAAGATTCGAAGCAGTGGCGGCGGTGTGCAGAAGCTCTGACGGTACATTCCAAGGAGCATCTATGATGTTTTACAAGTATATTGCTGATCCCCAGACACTCGAGGCCCTGGCCATCAGGGAGGCTTTAGCTTTGTCAGATGATTTATATCAGAAGAGAATACATGTTGCACCTGATTGCAAGGTGGTGGTCGACAATCTGAAGAAGGAAAACTCATCGGGTTATGGTGCCATTACACATGAGATAGTCCGCCGATCGAATGATTTTGAGATATGTAAATTTAGTCATGAGTTTAGGAGCTCGAATTTCGAAGCTCACAACTTAGCGAAGCATGCTTTATCCCTCGGGGTTGGCCGCCATGTTTGGTTAGGGCACCCTGCAGAACTTTCTTTCGTCCCTGTAAACATTGTGACGTCTTAGGGCCTGTTCAGCAACTACCTAGCTCCCAGAAATCCTCAAATCCGGCTTCTCGATCTCACATCCAGCTTCCTGACGAAAATAGTGGATCAGAAAAAAGTTCAACAACAGAGTTCCTAGATCCCAGTTCGCTAGTCTTGGGCTGGTAGCCGGCTGGCCCATTAAGCTAGATTCTGGCCTGTTAGGGAGCGAAGGTAGTTGCTCCGTTCTATTCTTCCGTGGACGAAGCTTTTTCTTTCACTTCGCGGTGGCAGCTCGCCGTAAATAGCTCGAACTCCAGCTTCTGCGATTTCTGGGATCCATGAAACACTGGCTCCCAGTTTTTGTACTACGACCCGCCTGAGATCTGGGAAGCTAGCTTCTCGGAGCTGACCTGTTCGGCCCAGCTTCGTCCGCTGATTCAGAGAAGCCAGGAGCCGGGCAGTTGCCGAACAGGCCCTTAATAAAAGCTTCGCGAGGTTGTCTAAAAAAAATAAACTATTGCGTCCCCGTTTTGTTGCAAAGAATAATAAGTTGGGATGTCGTCGTATATGCAACTATGCCTGCCACCAAGCGTGCAGAAAAAGAACATCAGTGTTGGTTCAGAGCCGGTGATTGCAGTCAGCACCCAATCTTCCCGAGGTATGGGCGCGGCAAACTGGAGCATGTCGCCTGTCAAGGGGTTCAAGAGACAAGCAGCGTGCGGACGCTCCCTGTCCGCGAGGACGAGGAGACCATCGGAGTCGTCGACGAAAATGTACTCACGGAGCACAGGGAGGCGCAGGAAGCGGAAGCACCCAGTGGAGACGTTGAGAAAGATCCCCCTGTCGTCGTTGGATTCCCACTGGAGCATGACCCATTGCCGTGGGCGGAAACGAGGGTCGCCGACTGCTTCAGTTGGAGATGGCTTAGTGATGGCAGAGCGCCACCTGGGGCAGACGGCCCTCATGTCCATGTATGTGGCGATGCCGCTGGTGGACAGGCCGCAGTCGGCGATGGCTTGGACAAGCTCCGGTGGAAGCGATTCCCATTCCGTCGTGCTGGATCGATCATCAAACATGGTGCCCTCCTTCATGGCCGCGTCCTGGGTCACCGGTGACGCCGTCTGGAGCAGCGCCGTCATCCTCGCCGAGTACCTCGAGCACGCCGCTCACTCCGTGTGGTGGCGACGGACGGATCTCCACGACCGCCTCAGGCTGCTGAGGCGATGCTTAGGGTTCGCCTTGGGTGAGGATGGAGGAGCTAATGACGGCGGCGATGGAGGAATGGGATTTGGGCGTGAAATCCTTGCCGGACTTATGGTATTCAATTTGTTTGGGCTTGCATGTGGGCTCAGTTTATTTTTCAAACAGCAACCAAATTCGACTAAAAAAATCAGCTCAATAATTTCAGTTTTTTTCTTAAGTATTCAAACAAATACGGAATCGATTTTTTCCAGCATTGATATATAAGATGTACCCAATTTTTACATAAAAAGGGATGCGGTGTGCCGGTTAGTGCCCAAATAGCAGTGACAGTAGGAGGAGGGGGGGGGGGATTCGAGCAAAGAGGAAATTTTTAACACGAGAGAGAGTCATAGCGAGGCATTTCAAGGATGACGCGACAACCAGAATCAGTAAGTTGACCAGCAGAAAACAGATTCATGGTAAGTCAAGGACCATGAGCAACATCATGAACAAAATAAGGAGTGGTAAGATTGCCTGTACTAACAACAGAAAGTGGAGTACCATCAGCAGTGAAGATATGAGCAGGAGAATCCAGCGATCGAAGAGAGGACAAAGTGGAAGAATGAGAAGACATATGAAAAGAAGCTCCAAAGTCCAGAACCCATGGGGATGTACCTGACTGTGTAGAAGGCGGTTGCTCAGTGCAGGAAGCATCAGTCACAGAACCAGCAGTACCCGTCGAGGAAGAACCTGAAGCCGCATGCAGACGCTTAAGTCTCAGAATATCCTGCTCGGTCAAAGCAATGGCTGAAGCTGTCGAGGTAGATGACGAAGTCCCTGAAGAGGATGATCGCGCCTTGCGCAGGTGTTTCCTCTTCGTGTAGCACTGGGACTCAATATGACCATCATTGTCGCAGTAGTCACAATGTGGACGGGGGCGACCTGAGCCTCCAGAAGGAGTGGGCAAGAGCGGCGGAGCACTCGAGCGAGAAAGGGTCGGTGCAGCAGGTGGCGTGGAAGAAGCCCGAGTAGCGAGCACAGAGGGAACCTCCAACAAACCAGCACCACGTAAGCGAGTCTCCTCAGCACGAATCTCAAAAAGCACCTCCATAAGAGAAATACGGCCACGAGCAGACAACTGAGCACGCCGGGGTTCAAACTCCTTACGGAGCCGAGACAGGAACTCGTAAACGCGATGAAAGTCCAAATTGGCCTGGAAAGCCTGGCAACAGGGGCAAGTACGACAACCGTACCTAGACAAATCTAAGACAAGAATTTTGGGACGGAGGGAGTATATGTGTTGGAATTGTAGTCTATATTTTAGTAACTTTCTCATGGCATCTTAATAAGTATTGTGCGACATATCTTTTGTGTATCTTAATATGTTCTACTCTTTGGCACACGGCAAACAGAACTGACACGTGTATGCTTTAGGCAACATTAAAAATAGCTTCTGCTGCTAAAATTGCACTTTCGATGCCATACCATCAAGAATTCTGATGCTAATAGTACTTTTAGCAACATCAGTAGGTGAGGGCCTTTCTATTCTCCTCTGGTCATGTTGCTCATGGAGAATCAGTAAGCCGTTTTGTCCACAGACAAGATATGACAGAGAAAAGATATGTTTGAGGGAATGAGACAAGGGAACAAATGCTAACTTATAGATTCAGTAAGCCTAGAGAGTCCATGCCAGAAAATGTGACTAATGTCAGAAAGAAAACAATCTTTGTTATAGGATTATTAAGGAGCACAGCTAGCGATTTCAATGATAAAATCAGATCAGTACAAGAAGCAGGGGACCAGCCAAGGGTGAAGCTGCACTTGCAACTACTCAACAGAAACAACATTAGATACATTACAAAGCTACTAGCCTACTACTACTATAAATTAGGGCAGATCATATCCAACAACAGCAAGACAAATGACTGACCGGAATTACACCATTGGATGAAGAGACAAAACAGACATAATGCCACCAAGTCTTCAGCAATTCTACAGGTGCAACACCCCAAGAGACCAGCCAGAAGCTGCAGCAACTTGTGCCCAGCAAACAACAAAATCCAGCATCTTGGCATTCTGCAGTCAAGTCCTTTTCATGGAGGTAGCAGCATGATATTTGAGGTCAAGCAAGTCATAAGATACTTAAGGCCTACGGGCTAGGTTTGGTGGAACCGATCTACTTGAGCTTTCACTTTTGGATATGGAGTGAGAAGCACCTGAGCAAGGCTCAAAGGTCCTTCATATATTGTACCGCTTTCAGCTCCACAAACATCTTGAGGAACCTGAGGGCAGTTGACGTATTTCCTCTTGCCGTCGCTGAGGTCATATGACTCATATCTCACGTACACGCTATCAAATTGGTTTCCAGCATCAGCCCTATAAACGCAGTTGCCGTCAATGGAAGGAAGCTTATCTGCATCAACTACCATCCACTTGCTATAACTCAGGAAGAGCGCACTGTTGCCGATATTTTTGATTGGTTCAAGCACCTTCCGCTCGACATCCACACTGAAAACTTGAGTGATTTCGGAGTCCTTTCTCACAAGCAGCAATTTACCAGCATACTCCAGGAGAGTACCATTGTCGTCCCTGCCAGTATCCAATATTCGCTCCCCATACCAGTGGCTACCGGTCCAAACGATCTTGCATAAAGTTCCTCCAGAACTGAGCACATAAACATTGCCCGCATAGGCCATGCTCCGAAGGAAGAACAAGCCTAGATCGTCCGAAGCAGCATCGTGAAACTTCATCGCACGTAACTGGCCCGTGGGATCAGCAGAGTAAACCGCGTCTTCCCAACCTCGCTTCAAAGGACAATAAAACGAGAAACAGACCGGTGGGAGAGAGAAGACGATGGTTGGTTCAGTCCCAGCGACTGCCGTCTCCACCCAAGCTTCAGGATATATGGGCGCCGCAAAGTGAAGAATGTCGCCTGTCAATGGGTTGAGGAGACGAGCGGCATGCGGGGGCTCACTGTCCCCCAGCACGAGGAGACCGTCGGACGCACCGACGAAGATGTAGTCACGGAGCACTGGGAGGCGCAGGCGGCGGAAGCGCCCCGTGGAGACGTTGAGGAAGAGGGGCCGGCCTTGGTCGTCGTCTGCCCCGTTGATGAAGACCCACTGCCGTGGGCGGAAACGGGGGTCGGCGATCGCGGCGTGCGGAGATGGCTTGGCGACGGCAGAGCGCCAGCTGGGGCAGACGGCCCTCATGGCCATGTAGTCGTCGACGCCGCTGGTGGAGAGGACGCAGTCGGCAACGAGCCGGACGAGATCCGGCGGAAGCGACGCCCATTCCGGCGTGATGGATCCACCAGCGACCTCCTGCTCCATGGCCGCGCCACCGATGCCGCCGTCCTCGACAAAGACCCCAAGCACGCCGCCGACTGCCACCGCCTAGCCGTGTGGTGGGGATGGATGGATCTGCGCTTCGGGTGACCGAGGAAGAGGCTAACGGCGGCGACGAAGCCGTGGATTTGGGGGAGAAATGGTGGAGACTGGAGAGGAGCGGCGGCTGGATGGCAGAGAAGCTCGGCCAGTGGGGAAATTAGGGGTTAGAAGAGTGATGCGGTTGGGCTTGGGCTTGGGCCGGCTCGAAATACTTGCAGGCCTCCTCGGCTGCACACAGCAAACACTACAAAAATCTAATATACACTGTCTAAAAAAAAACAATATACACGTGTTATCCTAAAAAGCACTAATATACACGCGTGTAAAAAAGAAAAATAACCAAGCCCAATGATAACTCGCCGATGTGCCTTGAGAGTTAATCGATAGACTATACATCATTCATCCTTGACTGGTGGTTCAATTTCTTCCTGAAGGCACTGGATGTATGAGGTTTAGGTTGTCCAACATTGAGATAGCCCTTGAGCTTTCTTTGGCACTTTACCTGGAAGCTTGTTGATGGCTGGGAGCCAAAAGAGCTTGATATGATTGAGTTGCATGGATCACGACGCATCGTAATTACTTCTTTAGTTTGTCGGTCTGTGTTTTTCTCAATAATGGGATTTTTATTATATAAAGAACATCAATAGAGATGATACAAATGAAAATTCATACCCGTCTTCTAAATAGCTAGGATGAACGTGGCCCCTGCAAGAACTAAATAACAAGGACAATGATTTAGAGCTCTTGGGTGCCTGTGAATCCTATATCAATAGTAAAAATGAAAAAATTAAAAAAAGAGCTTGAAATTTTTGAGGTATCAAACATGGGTGCCCATTCCACTCCCATGTGAACTATCGTGGAGAAATGACATCCATGGTATTCTCATTAAAAAGCTCAAAAAGTTTCATTGTATAAACAAAAGTATTTGTATGGATCGTAGGTGAAACTGTATTTTCTTGGTCATGGATACCATGGATGTCATTTCTTAATGACTAAAACATAGGGGTAGAATGGGCGTCCAGGTTAGATACACCAAAATTCTATTTTTTTTATTTTCCTGGTATTTTTTATTTTAATATTTAATATTTATATACAAGGGCACCCGCAAGCTCCTATGTATTTACCTAAATAACAACCATAACTCTAACAAAATGGAAAAAATGCAGCATAAGCTGATGAAGGGCCAATTTGTAGACTAAACCACCATCTATATATGTGATTGTCTTGATTGTGGCCCATTTTGCTAAAAAAAACTGTATGCATCTACAAGGAAATAACTAAGTTATTTTTTATTAATCGTCCAATGTAAGTAGCATACCCATATGTGGCAAAGCACTTATTCGAGATAAAATGGACTAAAAATTAATAATTTACCCTGATTTTTTTAATGAGTCATGCAGATGTGTTATGAATTAGTGTTCCTGAAGCCTGTTCCCCTAGTACAAAACATGCCATCACTGGCAGCACATATATGGTAATCCAGGCAGGCCACATCAGATGCATCCATATTTATGTCTGGAAAAAAAGATGCATCCATATTTGGTTGGGCGTTGGATGCCGCTTCGGTCCTCCCTCCACGCCGCTAGTGGCTAGTGGGCTCAATTTGATTAGTGGCCTTGTCCTGCTGGGCTGGGCTTGATAATAAAAAAGACTACATCAGGATTTTCTGTTTTACCGATTTTTTTCAGTTTTATACTGGAGAAATCTAGTTCTAAATGGTTTTTACATTTCATACTATACCGTAGACCAGAAACCGTATATAGCATAAATTTGGTCTCGGTTCTGTTTCAAAATGTACAAAGTGATTGATATGGTCCTCCTTAGGACAACCTCCTCTAGAGCAAAAATTTATGAAGGTCCGTTGGGGAAATGTGACACATTCCGGACATCGGCAGATGGACTTGTGGGTTGGGGTGAAACCACTTGTAAGTTTTTATCCCAGACGACCCATGAGGAGCCCGTTAGCAACTATTTTTCTTTATCTGAGACACCTTTGATTTTGTCATGCCAGGATGTTTTGGCCTTCTCTAGCTATTGAATTTATTCAAATCTAAATCTATCTTCTCATACATGTACATAAAGTTTAGGACGCACTTTCAAAATCTTGGAAAATCATATGTCCTTTTGTCTCCCATCTTATTCTTCAGAAACATAAAGATGAGGCAAAATCATAAGTAGAATATTCTAGTTGCAACTGCTACAAAATAATCAAGAAAGGGAAGAGTTTCTCTTCTTTTTTAGACCATTTTAATGAGATATTTAGCTAAATTTACAACCTTTTCCCACATGCCACGGACAACATAGCGTACCTGATGTTTCTGAAGAATTTCTGAAGGGGCATGACAAAGAAAGAAACCCACTTCTTAACGGCAAACATGGTTTATTGGTTCAGCCAGCCTAATATGACAACCACGTTTCTTATTGATAAATGACATCTCAGGCAAATGAGTTTGTTCCATCGCGGACCATATAGATTATCAATTCCATAGATCTTCGCGTACCCATACGGAGGCTGGAGACACGACGCACATTGTCTCTGCAAAAAAATGCACATCCGACATATGTTTGCTGCTGGATGAAGAGACAAAACAGGCAGAATACCACCAATTCTTCAGGTACAATGTGCGAGAACCACCCCAGCTGTAGCTCCTGCTTTGAGTGAATTGCAAAAAACATCGACACTTCAGGCTAGGTTTGCAGGTACCACACATATACGAAATTGTGCCAAAAAACACTAATTTTTTTCATAAACTTTTGCATAAACACTAGTTGCTTGTTTGGACCGTTTTAAGTGCGTTTATGACAAGGGGGCCCGCATCCGTCGACGTGGCAGCACTGTTCACACGGCAACGCCGTTAGACGGCGTTACACGCCGCTGGCGCACCGGTTTGAGCCGGACCGCTTAGTCTTCGAGCCGTACCCCGCCCGGTCCGCTCCTCTCACTCTCTTTTCCTCCCCCGCACTCTCTCCTCTCAATCATGGCGATTGCTGGCGGCGCAGGCGGCGACTGCGGCGGGTCTGCCGGCGTTGGACATGATGGTCCACCTGTGGGAGATATATGCGGGAGCTCAAACCCTAGCTGGCCGTCGGATACTAGCATCCCCAGCCAGAGCCCCCAGCACTGTCTCGAATATGCGGTGGCAAGATCTTGGGCCAGGGCAGTGAAGGAGAATCCGTCGGAGAGTCATCGGATTGCCTCCTCATTCGGCGGCGTCTAGTGAGTTTCCTCTTCCCTCTTCCCTCTTCGCTCTTCCCTCTTCATGTAGATCGATTCTAGGGTTAGGGTTAGGTTTTTTGGCACTGTTAATTGGTGCTCTCTTAATTGTGATTTAGTTGCGGTTGATTTGTAGTTAACAGAGTAGTTAGTTGACAGAGTAGTTAACAGAGTAGCTAGTTGACAGAGTAGTTAACAGAGTAGCTAGTTTTCAGAAGGTGTTTGTTGTTTTCAGAGTGTACTGTACATTGGTGCTCTGTTTTAGGAATTATGCATTTTTTTACAGTACATTGGTGCTCTGTTTTAGTGCTCTATTAATTAAGCTATTTTAATTATTTGTGTGTAGTTTGAGTGATGATGTTTGGGAAGTTAGAATGCACTTCCATGACAGAGACAACTTGGAGAGATCAGTTTGCATTTCAGACATAACATATTATAATTTGGTTGCCCTAATAGAGACGGAGGGATATGGGCTTAATGATTTCATGTATTTTCTGAGGGATCCTGGTGTGGGGATTACAGGAATGGATGAAATTTGTGATGATGAAAAGGTGGATGAAATGCCTGACCATATTGCTAACAATGATCAGCATGTAGTGAACTTGACAGTGGTTAGGGGCACTGATCCAAGACCTGCAGATTTGAACTCAGGCTATCTGGTTGATGAGCAGGTTCCTTTGAGCCATATAGGAGAGAACCATGTATATGTAGTAAATCCTTCTGGTGTTATCTTAAGATCACCACCAAAAAGTATAATACAGAGTCAGCCAGAGCCATTGCGGTTCTACACTACACAACAGAGCACAAACCATGATCTGGATACAAATGCTGCCATGGACCAATCCAATGCAGCAGATCAGGATGAACTGGAGACATTAATGGAGTTGAAGAGGAGAACGAAGATTGCCAAATTTAGGAAACATAAGATTGCAGCTGAGCATGTAAATAAGGTTAAGCAGAAGCTACCAATTCTTCTAACTGAAGATGATTCAGATCTGGATGCAGATGAGGACTATCTTCAAAGGCTTAATGAGATGAGGAAGCAAAGAGAGGATCCACTCATTCATTTTGACGGAGACACTGATGTGGACGAACTGTATGAGGAAGATGAGGAGGTGGAGCAAGAGGAGCAGGTGCACCAAGAGGAGCAGGTGGAGCAAGATGAGCAGGTGGAGCACCAAGAGGTGCCTACAAAGAAGAATAAAGCTAGAAAAGGGCCAACAGAGAGGTCACATTCTAGCTTGGAACAGAGATTTGAGGATGTTTGGGCACCACCATCAGATGAGGAGCCAGATCTTGGTGCTTTGAAGCAAGAATATGATGATGGAGCTGAGGAAGTACAATTTGTTCTGCCCAATGGAAGGAAGAGCAGATCAGTGAGATCTTTGCCAAGGATCTGGTACAGTGAGGAGAGAGAGAACCCATAGGAGCAGTTTTGCAGACAACTTTGTTTCCTAAATGTGTATCAGTTTAGGAGAGCAATTCAGACATTGCACATAACTCAGAATAGGAATTATGAGTTCCACAGAAACTGCAATGACAACATCATAGTTGTGTGCACAAATGCAAAATGCCCTTTCTTTATTGCAGCTTCTGTTGTTGCAAATGAGACTACTTTTTGCATAAGGAAGGCAAATTTTGTGCACACATGCCCAGCAGTAGGAGAGAACACCAAGGTCACTGCAAAATGGGTTGCACACCAGTGTGAGGCAATGATGAGAGTTGATATTGGCACACCAGTCATCACAATAATGCAGACACTGAAGAAGAAATATGGAATAGAGATGTCCACCCATATGGCCTACAGGGCTAGGAAGCAAGCATTGAAGGTTGTCCAAGGAGATCAGAGAGGACAATACACTAGAATAAGAGATTATTTGCAGGCTGTGTTGGATACAAACCCAGGCTCTAGATGTATTGTTACTACTAGGCATGTACCAGAGCACCCAAGCAAAAACCCTAGGTTTCATGGCCTCTTTTTTTGTCTAAGTGCTTGCAAAGAAGGGTTTTTGAATGGATGCAGACCATTCATAGGTACGTTTCATTTACTAAGTTGTGAATTATTTATGTGCTCACATTACATACACTATGTTCTCACAATTGTCAGCTTTGCAGGGGTAGATGGTTGTTTTATCAAGCTGTCAACAGGTCAACAGATCCTTGCTGCAACAGGAAGGGATGGGAACAATAATATCTACCCTATAGCATTTGGAGTTGTTGACAAAAAGGACAAAGACAGCTGGTCCTGGTTCTTAACACAGCTTAAAGATGCACTTGGTGGAGAAAGTGGGAAGTTTGGTTATTATACCATCATCTCTGATAGGCAGAAGGTAAACTTCTCTTCTCATACAATATTGCACTAGGTTTCATGGTTTCATATGCACATTGCTATAGCTTCATTGTTTATAGGACCAATGTTTGGCTTTATTTCCCATTGTTTCAAACAGGGGCTTTTAAATGCAATAAACCATGTTTTCCCCAATTGTCCACAAAGATTCTGCCTTAGGCATATCTACCAGAATTTCCAAACTGCTGGTTTTAGAGGTGATGAATTAAAGAAACACATGGATGCAGCTAGCTACTCTTATACTGAGAATGAACACCTTGATGCAATGAATGCTTTGAAAAGAGAGTGTAAGGCTGCTTGGACATGGCTTCACAAAATCCCTGTTCATACTTGGGCTAGGCATGCTATGGATTTTAATTGCAAAACTGACCTGGTAGTGAACAACATCAGTGAGGTGTTTAATAAAATGATATTAGATGTAAGAGGCAAGCCAATAGTGACCATGATAGAAGGAATCAGGACAAAATTGATGGTCAAATTTAACAAGAATAGAACAAAGACAGAGACAACAAATTGGGAGATTTGCCCTACCTATGCTGAAATATTAGAGGAGACAAAGTACAACTCAAGGTGGTGCCAGACTTTGATGGCTGGTCCTAACATCTACCAAGTGACTAGTGGAGAAAACACCTACTCAGTGAACTTGCTGGACAGAACATGTGGATGTAGGAAATGGGATATGACTTCTATGCCTTGCCATCATGCAGTTTCTGCAATAGTGAAAGCTAAGTTGCAGCCAGAGGACTTTGTTGCTGATTTCTTCAAAAAGGAAATGTATAAAAAAGCATTTGCACATATCATATTTCCTGTGCCTGGTCCAAACCTGTGGCCAAGGACAAGAACTCAGGACATAGAGCCTCCAGTATTCAAAGACAAGGTTGGGAAGCAACAAACAAAGAGGAGGAAAAACCAATTTGAAAATCCAGCACCAAGAGATACATCTAGGATGGCATCTATTACTTGCAGCAACTGCAAACTTGTAGGGCATAGATACAATGTTTGCTCCAAGCCCCTAAAGGCAGCTCTTGCTATGAGAATGAATCAGCATCAGGTTAGTTATAGTAGCACCTCAATTCTCTTTATTTTGTCTCCAGTGTAACTCACAAGCCTTAACTTTTTTTGAAATGTAGCCAAACAGGTCACAGGCTTCTACTTCAACAACAAATGCATCTACAGCTGCTGCACCACCAAGGAAGAGGCCATCTTCATCTACTACTGCACCTACAGCTGTTGCACCACCAAGGAAGAGGCCATCTCCATCAACTGCTGCTCCTACACCTGCTGCCACTACACCTGTTGCTCCTCCAAGGAGGTCTCCTAGGAAGAAAGCTACACCTGCTGCCACTACACCTGCTGCTCCTCCAAGGAGGTCTCCCAGGAAGAAAGCTACCAATGCTGGTACAGCCTCTACCTCTACTGCGGGAAACATGTCAACTTTTCAAGCTCCAAGACAGAGTGGAAGAAAAAGGACTTCTTCATACAAGTTGAAAGAATACTTCTATGCTTCTGGGAACTAGATGCCTTTGTCTTTGTTGACATGTGATATCTATGTGTTGGCTGTGAACTAGATTATGCCTTTGTTGGCTTTCAGAACCTATAATGCCTATGTTGGCTTTCAACTAGATTATGCCTTTGTTGGCTTTCAACTAGATTATGCCTATGTTGGCTTTGAACCATTGTTGGTTGTGAGAACTTGGATGTTTATCTTAAATGTTGGCTTAGATGGATGTGAGAACCTGAAAATGTTGGTTGTGATGCTGGTGATTCTGGTGATGATGTTGGCTTAGATGGATGATGATGATGCTTACTATGATTCTAGGATCTCTCGTCATCGACAAAACCACTTGGAAGATTCATACATAATCATAACTAATAAGTACCATATTACATAACCATAATTTAGATATTACTAGATCATTCATCTAATAGTAGTCATTACATAACCATAATTATAGTAATCATCATCCCGTAACCATGCTGGTGGTACTAATAAGCAGCATATTACATTATACTTCTCATTCATCTAAGATGGCTTTGATCCCATTCAGCTTCAGCTTGGTCTGCTCGGCAACCTTCTCAAGCTCATCAATGTGGGCCTGCAACTTAATCTTCTCTTCAGCAAGCTTCACCTTCATGTTCCTAATGACTTTGGCTTGAGCAACTGTCAGGTTCTTGAGCATGTCATACTTCTCCTGCAGCTTGCTCTCATCAGGTTTGTTCTGTATCTTACCTCTCTCCATCTGAGCCCTCTGCTCCTATCCAAAAGGTCGTTGACATCTTCAACCAACCTCTCATAACTTGCCTGCAGCTTGATCTTCTGTTGTGTCAGATTGTGAACAGCAAATGAGCTTCCCAGATTGTCCTCAATCTTGCTCCTCCCGCACTCTTCATACTTATCCCACAACTTGGTCAATGCATTCTCCATTGTAGCTGGCCAAAATGGATCAACCCATTCAACTAGCCCACAATTTCTTCCCTCCTGTAATTTTAGTGTTAAACAGGTATAAAGTAACAAAATGCTACAAAGTAACACATGGTGTAAAGTGCTCACTAATCCACATGCTATAAAGTAACAAACAGGTATAAAGTAACATAATGAGTTAAACAAACATGTATGAGCTAGCCATATGACACAGTGAGTTAAACAATTACAGTGCTCACTAATCCATATGCTATAAAGTAAGAAGTCTCAATCAGTGCTCCCAACCCTATGCACATACTGGCATATAAACAATGACCTCCCTAACCCACTACTATCACAGAAAATACATAACTAATTAGTAACCTACCTAACAGGCCAGATCTGCTGACAACACTCTGCACATGCTCACATATAAACAATGACCTCACTGAACAACACTCTGCATAAATTTGGCACATACCTTCACAGCACAAGCAAAGAACCTCCTGCCAGTATGGATGCCCTGGAAAGCAACACGCCTCTCTGCTGGCAGGGAGTGTTCATTGCACAAAACATCAGGTTCAGTGCCCTCGAAATCAGAGTCATCGATGGTCTCAGGGATCTGGAGGTGCAAAGGAAAGGCAACAAAACTTGAGATCAAGCTCAACAGAAAAATCCCCAAATCGCACCCCTAACCCTAGCTTCAGCTCGAGCAACTCACCTTGATGATGCCCTCGTCTGAAGCTGAGTCGGCGTACTGGTGAGAGTTCTCACTGCTGTCGTCATCAGACCAGGAAACCATGGCGACGCGGCGGCGACGGCGGTCGGAAATGTGGGAGGGGGCGGCGGCGGCGAACGAGCGGGAGCAGAGAGAGG